CATTATAAACCCTATCAAGTCACCAAACATCATCCAATGTCACAACATTATAGACCCTATCAAGTCACCAAACATCATCCAATGTCACAACATTATAAACCCTATCAAGCCACCAAACATCCTCAATGGCGCAACATTATAAACCCTATCAAGTCACCAAACATAATCCAATGTCACAACATGATAAACCCTATCAAGTCACCAAACATCCTCAATGTCTCAACATTATAAACCCTATCAAGTCACCAAACATCATCCAATGTCACAACATTACATCCAATGTCACAACATTATACATTCTGTAAAATCACCAAACATCATCCAATGTCCCAACATTATACATTATATCACGCCACTAAACATCATCCAATGTCCCAACATTATACATTATATCACGCCACTAAACATCATCCAATGTCCCAACATTATACATTATATCACGCCACCTAACATCATACAATGTCACAGCATTATACATTATATCACGCCACCTAACATCATACAATGTCACAGCATTATACATTATATCACGCCACCTAACATCATACAATGTCACAGCATTATACATTATATCACGCCACCTAACATCATACAATGTCACAGCATTATACATTATATCACGCCACCTAACATCATACAATGTCACAGCATTATACATTATATCACGCCACCTAACATCATACAATGTCACAGCATTATACATTATATCACGCCACCTAACATCATACAATGTCACAGCATTATACATTATATCACGCCACCTAACATCATACAATGTCACAGCATTATACATTATATCACGCCACCTAACATCATACAATGTCACAGCATTATACATTATATCACGCCACCTAACATCATACAATGTCACAGCATTATACATTATATCACGCCACCTAACATCATACAATGTCACAGCATTATACATTATATCACGCCACCTAACATCATACAATGTCACAGCATTATACATTATATCACGCCACCTAACATCATACAATGTCACAGCATTATACATTATATCACGCCACCTAACATCATACAATGTCACAGCATTATACATTATATCACGCCACCTAACATCATACAATGTCACAGCATTATACATTATATCACGCCACCTAACATCATACAATGTCACAGCATTATACATTATATCACGCCACCTAACATCATACAATGTCACAGCATTATACATTATATCACGCCACCTAACATCATACAATGTCACAGCATTATACATTATATCACGCCACCTAACATCATACAATGTCACAGCATTATATAAACTCTTTCAATCCACCAACCACCACCCAAGGTAACAGCAAATAAAGTCTCTCAGGTCATCCAATCTCACCCAACATAGCCCAATGTCACGAAAGTATACACTTTCCTAGGCCACCATACACAATACCAAATGCTACATAATTACAAACTCTAGTAGGCCACCATGCAACCATGCATTCAACGAAATTCCACCTCATTATAAAACACACTCATGCCACCGCACATACCAAGAAATGCCACAACATTCCTCAATGTCACAATATAATACACCCTATCAAGTCCCAAAATATCATTCAATTCACAATACATATAAACTAGTATGTAACTTACCAAGTAACCAAGTAACCCAACATCAACCAACAATCTCCATCGAAAAGCAGTTATTAGATTACCCTTTCTTATTAATGATAGAATCTAAAAGGAAGTGTGGGAATATTTGGCTACACAATTGTATTTCAGTATCAATGATCTTGATATTAATTTATTGATGAAGCAACAATCAGTTATCAATAGACTGCACTAAATAAAAGAAATAATATCATTCGGGATAAAATCATTCGGGATAATATCATTCGGGATAATATCATTTACATTAGAAGATGTACTAAGGCTACACATAAGCTATACCAATCCCGTATACTCGCCTGATCTGTACAATGACCTGATATGTCAGTTGACCTAGATAATCAGTCGTTATTGAATGTAATCTCGGTGACCATGATCAAGACCATAGTTAAGATGTAAACAAGGGTTATGTGTACTGTTTACACAGTTCGTCCGGATCTTTTAGTGTTTGCATCTCGCAGTTGATCTAGAAAGCAAGGGCTTGCTTAAATAGTCTTGTTTTTTCCCTCAGAGATGTCGACTGCTGAAGATCAAATTCAGAACACACGGTTTGCAAAGATGCAGGTCAATAAAAAATAAAAATTATGGGCAAATTAATGGTCCCCATCATAATCTCCTAGGGAAACATAACATTTCCTTGTGCCATACAAAGGTCGATGTTTCTGACAATATTCGTTAGTATGCCTTGTTATTCCGTCGCACCTCTCCCGTTTTTTGTTATGATGGCGTGAAATTACTTGAAATTTGTCGAGCAGATGACGCTTACGCTTCCGGAACACGCGGTCTTTATAACTTCGACTCCATGTAAGTATTTCTCTTTATCGAATTACAGTTGTTTACATTTAGGTATTTTCTATTTGCAGTGTATCTAAAGGATAGGAATATATCATTTAGTGTAAGTGTAATACAGACTATGTTAGGAGTATATTCGCTGTTTTTGAAGATTTATTATATACCGGTAATCATTGTCTTGGTAAGATATATTATGTGTGATTTGGAAGTGCAAATTTTGTTTTCTTTACTAACATCATAATGCATGTTATATATGTAAAATTCATTTATTTTACAACAATAATAAAACAAGTTCTATCAAATTCATGTGTATTAATTAAGCATACTTACCAGCTATTTCGTCGTGTAGGATTAATTTATTGTACGTTTAGTCGTACAATCGGATAACACGTTTGCTGGTAGATAAAATGAAAATAGAAACATGATATATATATATCTAATCTGATTGCCTACATCTTAACTTATTTACATACTAACAACAAACTAACCGTCACTTGCTGAGTATAGACCTATAGAGGCGACATTCGTAGGAAGCGCTCAGTCTTTATCACCGAAAGCACGAAGCCGATAACAGAGAGCCGAAAATAGAAGAGACAGTGTATATTTACCTGTAATCCTGTTTACTATGGAATTATTCCATAGGGCTAGTCTGTTAGTCGTCGGAGTTTGCTTACTGTTGGAGGAAGGGCGTGGAGCCCCTACCCTCGAGAATGTTACGGAAAGGTTTCGAGTTCAACTGGAGCAGTCAATATTTAGAACGTTCGGTAAGTATGTTTAATACAAGAAACCCTCGCACAAAATAGAACACTCCTTATCACACAGGACGTTTACTTGTGCCTTGTTGGTGTCCTCAAATGTTCGGGAGGTCAGCGTGACCAAATCACCATCACCACCTTTGATTTCTGTGGTAAACGATGTTCTATTTAACGTTATTGTAAAACTAGATAAAATTCAAGTATAATACTGGCAGAACAGAATGTAAAAGTTCCCATTAAATACTTTATTGAGCAATATGATAAAAAGTACTTCGCTTATTGGTATCTAAGATTTTCCAAAACCAGTTTGTTGTTATTGAAAGCATTTCGTGGACGTACACTGAATGGAACATAGAACTTCAAAAAGGGAATAGTTTGGTCACAAGGAAAGAAGAGTTTGGCCAAGAAAATACAAAATGGTAGTGAAAACTTGTCTGATATTGGTTTGACACATTTTATTATATAATACATGCTTTTTCCGTGCCATATTGCCGTTCAATAAAAACGATATAGCTCACGTACTATAAACATGCAAATGAGTCTTGTCACCGTGGGAAACAGGTCATATTCCTACGCACTACAACTTCTACGTTTGTAAACAAAATGGCTGACCGGATTACTATTTGCATTGATACAGAGGCAGGGACACTGGGAGAATACAATTAACAAATGAGTTTAATAAATTCAACATTATATAAACACGAGTGATAGCTTCACACAAATTTAACATGTTTAAAATCCACTTGAACATAGCAACAAATGGCAAACATGTGTAACCGGTCAACTTCATCAGTGATCCAGTTTCATGGCGGATTCCACAGTATATTTTCTGACTCAGTGACAGGCGGAAACATCGAGGTTCACATTCACCAACATCCCTCTCCAAAAAAAATTTCGCTTGTGTTATAGAGAGTGACAATCAATTCAGTCCCTTTAAACTTTTAAAAAGTGCAGACTTCGATGTATATTGTAATGACCTTTACTTTGACAGTGCACGCGCCGTTGTGCCATATATGTGACGTCACTGCTATTTTCGTAAACGCCAATTAGTTGAATGGTTTTCGTATAAAAAAAAGGATAATTAATGTTGTTATGATAATTATTAAAACATTGGTTGAAGTAGAAAACCTAAATGAGTGTTTGTTCATTGAAAAGGTTCTCGGGAAGAAGTTTCTGAAACTCTTTTTTGAGGCGCAGCGAGCTCCAAACAAAATGCATGTAATGCGTCCTTTCGTCAGCCATCGGTACAGTTTATATAGAGGAGATGTGTCAAGAAAAAGAGTGTTTCTCGAATTATCTAATAAATAGATTCATGTAATATTAAATTTATTAACTCGTTTATTAATTTCATATGAAATTAATAAAAACTCGTTCAATAAATTAAATATTACATGAACACTCGTGTCAGATCCTCTATATATTTGAATATGGGTATAATGTAAATATCAGGAAATATTCCGTATCTTGTCAGAACTGTCTGTTAAATTATGCTAATAAGTTTAACGTCAAAAGTTAACCTTATGCTACCACAAAAATAACATGTTTCAACTGTGTGTTTACATTCCATGGCAGGAACAGAACTAAATTTTGGCTTGTGAGCGGAGATTGCAAGACTTAGTTAACGTAGATGAGTATTTGTCTGAAATAAAGTCGAAACAATATTAAACCCTAATATACTATAAAAGGCCGAGGTATATGACATCCCACACGTGTTTTGTAAGTTGTAGACCTTAGGTGGTTTGGTTTGCGGTATTTTGTAGAAATAAAAACGGCTTTCAAACTACAATCTTTCCTGTCACAAGGCCAATGATCAGTATATCACTAGATACTTTTTAGCGGAAACCAGTCGACAAGTAAATTGTCCTCGGTAAGAGGTGTTCTATAACATTATGTTAACGTCTATTCATAAGTCTTCCCATCTACGCTTTCACAAAGCCACACCAAGCTATTTCACATCAATCTGTTAAATATAACTCCATAAAAAGTACGTTTCAGTTAATTTTGATTTTTTGTTTGAGAAATGACAAAATCCCTTCATGGGGTATATAGTCCTCAATATAGAGAATTATTATATGGCGGGGTGCAGGCGCACTCGTTCTTAAAGAAAGAAAAAAAGAATTTGAAAATGCAATTTAATGTAAATATGGTGTTACCTCTTTTAGATAGATCTAAAGTTAACAGAACGGTAAATGTTTTATAGATATTTTCATATAATTTAATCTCACTCAACTCCACTGAAAATGAGCCACGTTGAATTATGTTTAATTTATTTAATTTTCGATTATTATGAAACCTCAACCATTGTTTCAACCGTATAATTGAAATGCAATCTACCAGAAACTTTGAACACTTTGTCTCCTAGCCAATTAACTTTGTCTCCTAGCCCATCAACTTTGTCTCCTAGCCCATCAACTATATCTCCTAGCCCATCAACTGTATCTCCGAGCCCATCAACTTTATCTCCCAGCCCATCAACTTTATCTCCCAGCCCATCAACTTTATCTCCCAGCCCATCAACTTTATCTCCTAGCCCATCAACTTTATCTCCTAGCCCATCAACTTTATCTCCTAGCCCATCAACTTTGTCTCCTAGCCCATCAACTTTATCTCCTAACCCATCAACTTTATCTCCTAGCCCATAAACTTTATCTCCCAGCCCATCAACTTTATCTCCTAGTCCATCAACTTTATCTCCTAGCCCATCAACTTTATCTCCCAGCCCATCAACTTTATCTCCCAGCCCATCAGCTTTATCTCCTAGCCCATCAACTTTGTCTCCTAGCCCAACAACTTTATCTACTAGCCCATCAACTTTATCACCTAGCCCATCAAATTTATCTCCTAGCCCATAAACTTTATCTCCTAGCCCATAAACTTTATCTCCTAGCCCGTCAACTTTATCTCCTAGACCATAAACTTTATCTCCTAGCCCAGCAACTTTATCTCCTACCCCATAAACTTTGTCTCCCAGCCAATCAACTTTATCTCCGAGCCCATCAACTTTATCTCACAGCCCATCAACTTTCTCTCCTAGCCCATCCACTTTATCTCCCAGCCCATGAACTTTATGTCCTAGTCCATCAACTTTGTCTCCTAACCCATCAACTCTATCTCCTAGCCCATCAGCTTTATCTCCCAGCCCATGAACTTTATGTCCTAGTCCATCAACTTTATCTCCGAGCCCATCAACTTTATCACCTAGCCCATCAAATTTATCTCCTAGCCCATAAACTTTATCTCCTAGCCCGTCAACTTTATCTCCTAGGCCATCAACTTTATCTCCGAGCCCATCAACTTTGTCTCCTCGCGCCTCAACTTTATCTCCTAGCGCATCAACTTTATCTCCCAGCCAAACAACTATCTGTCCTAGCCCATCAACTTTAATCTCCTCGCCCATCACCTTTATCTCCCAGCCCATGAACTTTATGTCCTAGTCCATCAACTTTATCTTCTAGCCCATCAACTTTAGGGGGTAGCCCATCGACTTTATCTCCCAGCCCATCAAGTTTAAGTCCTAACCCATCAACTTTATCTCAAAGCCCATCACCTTTATCTCCCAGCCCATGAACTTTATGTCCTAGTCCATCAACTTTGTCTCCCAGCCGATCAACTTTATCTCCTAGCCCTTCAACTTTATCTCCCAGCCAAACAACTATCTGTCCTAGCCCATCAACTTTACTCTCCTAGCCCATCAACCTTATCTCCCAGCCCATCAGCTTTATCTCCCAGCCCATGAACTTTATGTCCTAGTCCATCAACTTTGTCTCCCAGCCGATCAACTTTATCTCCTATCCCATCAACTTTATCTCCCAGTCCATCAACTTTATCTCCTAGCCCATCAACTTTATCTCCTAGCCCATCAACTTTTCTCTTGTTTTAGCTGAATATGCTTTAACCTAAAACTTTTCTTCTTTATCTGGCTATCATTTTAAACATGACATTTATCCTTAATTTAAACTTCCTATTTCTGTACACTATATCCCCTAACCGTTTTATGTATATATAGGTACCAGCATACGTACCTAGAGGAGACGGTTTGCCATTAGAAACAGTCGACCACTTTAACATGGTTTTGAAGAAAAACAATATCATCCAATAAGTGTTAATAAATCGACACATTTGCTTTAAAAAGACATTTCGGCATGAAACTACCGCTCTACACCGTCTCCTTTATAACAATGTGAAACTTCTAACTCAAATATACGTTAGAATAAACATTATTTCAAAAACAAGAAAATGAATAGTTCATATTTGAAATATTGGTGCTTAAATTAGTAAATTTATAATCAAATTCACAATGTAACCATGTACACCTTGAAAAGGTAAGTGTGATTACCAAACTGTAAAAGGTTATCTATATGATAATAAGCATAGTTCTGTAAACTATATCACCTAACCGTTTTATGTATATATAATAAAAGGTTATCTATATGATAATAAGTTCTGTGATTTATTGCCACAGTCCACGTCTCCTTCATGCTCTAAACATTGATGTTATTATTCAGCGAATTTTTCGTTATTAGTTGGCTGTCTAGATGACACAGCATCGATTTATAAAATGTTATGTAAATTATCATGAATGTTGTTATATAACATGATTGATATCAGCATTAAAACATATTTACATTTTCCCTGCTCCTCCATAATAAATTGACTTTGCTCCTTTGTAGACGAGTTTGCACAGTTTCTGCGGTCCTACTTTACACGACAAATAGCGACGGATTGGGAAAGTGGGGAACTCTCTTCTCCAGAAGAAAACCCTAGCCAAATTCTGCGAAGGCGTCGAGCTATTCTTCCTTTGCGATTTGAAGACGTTGAGAGAGAGTATCTGATAAAACAATCGCTACAGCTGCTGGGGCAGTTCGTCGGGTATGTTGAATATGTCAATAACGACAATGAAACTCGATCTTACTTAGAGGAGATTCTCCGTGAACATGGCGACATGCTGAAAACAATGTCAGTAGCTCAGCTGACGAGCTATCTGGGAACACTACAGAGAACCATGGAGGATGGAGTCAACGGTCAACACCAGATGGTTGTCAACGGAAAGGTGTTTTCTCTCGATCATATATCCAGTTGGTGCTGTCAGTTTGGATAACTGTACTGTTACTAGTATGTACTTTTGTGCTTTGACAATTTAATAACCAATAAAATACCAGAGCTCCAAAATCATATTTTTCTATTAACAGTAAATTCACTAGAACTACGAAATAAGAAAGCACCCCGTTAAAAGTAAATATTATCTAGTAAGTCAGTTCAGGTAACCAAACAACGTACATTGTTTAAAACCATATTAAGAATAGTTCGTCCATTTAGGACTGATCAGTTGTACTAAATGTCAAAACAGCATGTCTTAAGTGTTTATAACAGATGACGACATACACGGTAAAAGGAGAAAGATATTAAAAAAAACCTTCATAATGTTACAAACTTCTGGATACAAAACAGAAATAATTATTTGAGTAATATTTGCGTTAACCGTGTCTAAATAGATTCAAGTTACAGGGTTACAGATAATCCTGGGGTCTGTTTGCTCCAGAAGAGAATAATGTCGAGTTATTGATAACATAAAACACCAATCAGATCTCTAACAGCAACGTTTATATTTACTAATTGAATATCCGCCAAAGCATATACAGAACCTCTATTTTATTGATACATTCTTACAGGGCCACAAAAACCTTTTATTTTTTAATAGTAAGATACCTGCCAGAGCTACAACAAATTTTTATTGATGAAATAGTAGGCAGAACAGTAACACAATAATGTAGAAAAATGAATACTAGCGTCTTCTAAAAGAGTCTAAAAGAGTTGTGGGAATCATACGTTACCTACACCAGCAGAATATTAACCAGGTACCGAGGTCGATTATAATTAATGTGGATCTGAACGTTATACTGACGACAAGACAGATGTGTGGATATCACATCAGAGAGAAAGAGCCGTGGCAATTTGCACTCCGCTACCCTAAATATACATTGGAATGAACCTTTTGATCTTTGTCTGATACTATTTTGTTTGATATCGCAGACCAAGCAACGTTCTTCCTGAGTATTTAAAAGAATTGGTTGTGTTTAAAAATAGATGGGAAATGATATTTGTTGTAATGTTTACTTATATGTTGAAACTAAAAATGTTCGTCACCAAAAGATCTCAGAGGGAGGAACAGCATGGGCGATATAACCAGACATCAGCATGTATTCTGTGATGTAACAGAACAGACATGAGTTCACCATACAAACTTTATAGTCGTACAGCGGTAGACATGAGTTCCCCATACACACTTTATAGTTGTTCAGCGGTAGACATGAGTTCACCAGACACACTTTATAGTTGTACAGTGGTAGACATGAGTTCACCATACCAACTTTATAGTTGTAAAGCGGTAGACATGAGTACACCATACACACTTTATAGTATTCTGTGATGTAACAGAACAGACATGAGTTCACCATACCCACTTTATAGTTGTACAGCGGTAGACATGAGTTCAACATACACACTTTATAGTCGTACAGCGAGAGACATGAGTTCACCATACACACTTTATAGTTGTACAGCGGTAG